AGTCCGAGAGCAGGGCGTCGGCACCAGCCGTTTCTGGTGAGAGGCCCGTCCTCATGGGCCTTCCTCTGTGACACGGGGTGGGAGGGAGGGGTGGGGAGAGGGTGAGGGAGAGCAGGACCCACCCTTATGACCTTGTTTAACCTTAATTACCTCTTTATAGGCTCCATAATTTCCAAATACAGGCACATTGTGGGTCAGGGCTTCACGCGTGAATTCTGGGGGATGCAGCTGTCTGCAGCAGTGGCTTAGAGAGGCAGCCACAAGCCAGTCGCTGAGGACTCAATCACTGAGGACGCGTGGTGCCCGGAGCAGACAAGCCCCAGGTCTGGTCACTATAGTCGCTGGCAGATTACGGCCATAACTGCCTCCTCCTCGCGGTGCGCGCCTCTGTGCAATGTGAGGCTGCCACTCCTCACACCAAGAGGTAAAGTGTCCCCCACCTTTATTTATTTTTATTTTTGGGAATTATTTTTATTTTATTTAACATATTTTTATTGATCTCAGAGAGGAAGGGAGAGGGAGAGAGAGAGATAGAAACATCAATGATGATGAAAGAGAATCATTGATCGGGTGCCTCTGCACACCCCCCTACTGGGGATGGAGCCTATAACCTGGGCATGTGCCCTTGACCGGAATCGAACCTGGGACCCTTCAGTCCGCAGTCCGATGTCAGAGAGGAAGGGAGAGGGAGAGAGAGAGATAGAAACATCAATGATGATGAAAGAGAATCATTGATCGGGTGCCTCCTGCACACCCCCTACTGGGGATGGAGCCTATAACCTGGGCATGTGCCCTTGACCGGAATCGAACCTGGGACCCTTCAGTCCGCAGTCCGATGCTCTATCCACTGAGCCAAACCGGCTAGGGCTCAGGGTCCCCACCTTTAAATCTGGGTTGGCCTTGTGATGTGCTGTGACCAACAGAACACAGTGGGAGTGATGTCATGCGGCTTCTGAGGATAGCGTCATGGGGCTTGCTGCTCGTGCTGCCCCGAGGGCCACCCCCTGAGGGGCTCGGCCGGAGGCCCTGGAGGGCGAGCGGCAGCTGTCCCACGGCCCCCTGAGCCGAGCCCTCGACCACTGCAGCTGCATGCTGACCCAGGCAAGCCCAGCACAGGAACTGCCTGGCCGGCCCACAGATCAGAGTCACAAGAAAGAGCAACTCGTTTCCTTAGGCCCCTACATTTTGGTGTATTGTCCCTGCGGCGCCGGTCACGCATTGGTTCACAGCCACCGCGGCTTGTTCGCGGCGCGACCTCTCTGTGAGGTGGCAGGGCTCTGCTCCTGGTGCCCGGGGTCCAGGCTGGTGGAGCGCCAGCTCAGACGCGGCCGCGAGGGAGGCGCGGGGCGCACTTGCTGCTTGTGAAGCTGCGCCGAGAACTGACACCTGCCACCCACGGTCAGGCCTCGCTGGCCAAGCCAGTGGGTGGGGAGTTCCTACTGTGTGACTGACAGGAGGCAGAGCCAGAATATCGGTGAACGTCTCCTGCCCACCCCCAGGCAGGTTATGTCTCGCTTGTTACAACTGAAGGGGTGGGCAGGGCTGAGGGACCCCGCCCGTGCCGGGGACCCAGGCTCCTCTGTCTGCTCTGTCCTCCCCAGGGTGTTGTTCTCACATCACCATCAGGGTTATTTTTATTTTTACTTATTTATTTCTTACTTTTTAAAAAATATATCTTTTTATTGATTTCAGACAGGAAGGGAGGAGAGAGAGATAGAAACAATGATGAGAGAGAATCATCAACGGGCTGCCTCCTGTACACCCCACACTGGGGATTGAGCCCGCAACCTGGGCATGTGCCCTGACCGGGAATCAAACCATCATGTCTATCCCTCTCCCTTCCTGTCTGTAAAAAATCAATACAAATAAAAACAAAGAATGGTAGGGGGAAAAAATTCTGAGGCCCCGTCCTGGTTCAGAGGTCGATGCTCAACCACTGAGCCAGCCGGCCGGCCGGGCTAAAGTCCCTTCACGCAGAGGAGGGGACGGAGGCTGGGTCTGGGGGAGGAACCAGCAGCTCTGCCACAGAGCAGCTTTGGGACCCCCACAACCAGGGCGTCCCACCTCCCCACCTCCCGTCAGTGGGCCCGGGGCCCCACCTTGTACGTGTGGTTCCTGAGGAGTTATCTGTAAATCAGAAGAGTTTTCACAAACTTGATTGATCCCTGAGAAGTGTTTCCTCTCACTCTGATCGATGCTCCTCATTTCTGCCTCGCACAGCTCGACGGAGCAGAGAGGTTTCTGGGGGATGGAGGCTGCGCACTGCGCAGGGCTCTTTGCTTCCTGCATTTCCTACAGCGCAGCTTCTGGTTCAACCCCCCAGCCCCCAATACGTTTACTCCTTTGAGTAACCAACCCAACATTTATTTTATAAGTCGGGAATTTTATCTACTGAACTTTCTGTAAAAATGTTCTAAAAAGTTTTCCAGTCTCTAAAACAAAATGTTGGTTTTGTTTTTTTTGTCCCCAGATTCTCTCTGGGAAAAAGGTTGTCCCTGCCCGCATGTATCAAGAAGTTCTGAGATCTCACTCATTTGTGGAATATAATGAACAACATAAACTGATGAACTAAAATAGATCCAGAGACAAAGAAGCATCGAACAGACCCTTGAATCTCAGAAGGAAGGCAGGGGAGGGTGTGTGTGTGTGTGTGTGTGTGTGTAAGAGATCAACCAAAGGACTTGTATGCATGCATATAAGCATAACCAGGTGGGGAGGGTGGGGGAGACGGGGGAGGGGGTAAGAAAACAACCAAAGGACGTGTGTGCGTGCATATGAGCATAACCCACGGACACAGACAGTAGGGGGTGAGGACATGTGCTGGGGGGGGGGAGTGGCCGGGGAGAGGTCAATGGGAGAAAAAGGAGTCATATGTAATACTTTAAACAATAAAGAATTTTTTTTTAAAAAAGAACAGCCCTAACCGGTTTGGCTCAGTGGATAGAGCGTCAGCCTGCAGACTGAAGGGTCCCAGGTTCGATTTCGGTCAAGGGCATGTACCTTGGTTGCGGGCACATCCCCAGTGGAGGGTGTGCAGGAGGCAGCTGATCAATGTTTCTCTCTCATTGATGTTTCTGTCTATCCCTCTCCCTTCCTGTCTGTAAAAAATCAATACAAATAAAAACAAAGAATGGTAGGGGGAAAAAATTCTGAGGCCCCGGCTGGTTTGGCTCAGTGGATAGAGCGTTGGCCTGCGGACTGAAGGGTCCTGGGTTTGATTTCGGTCAAGGGCCTGGGTTGTGGGTTTGATCCCCAGTGTGGGGCGTGCAGGAGACAGCCGATCAATGATTCTCTCTCATCATGGATGTTTCTATGTCTCTCTTTCTCTCCCTTCCGCTCTGAAATCAATAAAAAAAATCTATTTAGGAAAAAAAACAAAAGAAGACGTTCTGAGAAAATCGTCTCAATCTCTGGGAGGTTTATGTTCAAGAAGACGGCACAGCCCAGGCCACGTGGCGGGCGAAGCCCAGCAGAAAACGGACACTGAGCGAGTGGTTTTGCAACATCTTGGATGGTGGCCGGATCTGCGCACTTTAGACAGTTCATGCCGGAGTGTGTGTTTTTTTTTTTCCCAAGGCCACGAGGGGAGTAGGACACAGGCTTCGCCCCAGCTCAGTGCCCAGCCCGGCCTGTTTCCTCCCGGCAGGAGGCCACCCCCCTTGCCACTCCCTAGTTTTCTCCTCTGGCAGCAAACGAAGCAGCTGCTGAGCCAAGGCTGGTTTTCGGGAAGTCAGCTGACCTTTCCCCTCTCCCGGCTCACTGCTCTGCTGCCCGGAGGTGGACACCATGGGCTCACTCAGGGCTCTGCTTTGTCTGCTGCCCCTGTACCCAGGTGGGAGCCAGGGAGCGGGGTGGGGTGGGGGCGGGGCGGGAGGGTCCTTGGGGGGGGCCACCGCCCCCCGGTGGGTGTCTACGCTGGAAACAGTCTCTTTTGCTTTCCCTTTCTGCCCAGGGTTTACCGTGCCTTCCTCTTTTCTCCATTTCTGTGTCTTGTCCCCTTCCCACAGGCTTGGCTGCAGCTGCACCCTCCTGCCCTCAGAATGTGAAAATCTCCGGGGGCAATTTCACCCTCAGCCACGGCTGGGCCCCTGGGAGTGTCCTCGTCTACTCCTGCCCCCTGGGCCAGTACCCAGTCCCCACATCCAGGCTGTGCCTGAGCAGCGGACGCTGGCAGACCCCGAGATCCAGCCCGGTGGCAAAGGCGGTCTGCAAACGTGAGGCTCCCCGAGCTCGCCCAGGGTGCCCTGCACTCGCGGAACCTCTATTTAGGATTTGCTGCGCGTGGGTCTTAGCCTGCCTGGGCGGCGTGGGAGGGAGGGCGAAGCCTTTCCACAGGGCTGTGCAAATAGCGGGAGAACATCATTCCCCATAGCAGGCATTGGAGGCACGCTTTAAACAAGATTTTTTTAAAAAAAAATTTTTTTTTATTGATTTCAGAGAGGAAGGGAGAGGGAGAGAGAGATAGAAACATCAATGATGAGAGAGATCATTGATCCGCTGCCTCCTGCATGCCCCCCACTGGGGATCTGCCTGCAACCCTGGCATGTGTCCTGATCAGGAACTGAAGTGTGGCCTCCTGGTTCACAGGTCGATGCTCAACCACTAAGCCACACCAGTCAGATTTTGTTTTGTTTAGTTTTTTTAGTTTTTGTTTTCGTTTTTTCATAAAACAAGTCTTACCAAATTCCCATGGTTTTAAATCATACGTGGTATATACGCTTTGACCATAATAGAATTATGGGGGGGGGGGGCGGGGGCAGCTGAGAGAAGTGGCTACTTATCGGTGTTTCGGGTTGAACGGTGTGAGACGGCCAGTGTTCACCCAACTGCCAGCAGCAGCAATTGCACAGGCATCAACCTATTCTGCAGGCAGCCAGGGGCTGTCCCCACGCCTCGGGCGAACGCCACCCCGTGGTGCCGGCCCAGGGGCTCCCGGCACGCCCCCTACTGGGGATCAAGCCTGCAACCTGGGCATGTGGTCTGACCAGAATCGAACCCTGGGACCTTCAGTCCATAGGCCAACGCTCAAGCCACTGAGCCAAACCAGTTGGGGCGAGGCAGGCTTTGATGGAGATTGTTGGGGGCTACAGGCCAGGGATGCTTTCCAAAATACTTAACAGTTGACCGCATGGTACTGCCCGCT